TGTTATTGTCTTATCTAACAATTTTGAATTTTCTTAATTGAGATAGAATTTGCGGACATTCCTTCTTTTGTGAAATTAATTATTTTATTTGATGAATTTCTATTTTTAATTATTATATCAGTGTCACTTTAATAAATTACAAAAAAGATTGATACATTCAAATTAGATAGAGTATTGCTGTTATTTTAATAGAAATCAGGAGAGGTGACTGCGATTTCTCCTATAAATTATATATAACTATTAAAGTAATTATCAATTTAAAAATAAATTCAACTTAAATATAAACATTAATTTTTTTCATCAAGATAATTTTGTTAGAGGTGCGTAAATTTAAACTATCTAATTGAAATTGATGGACACATTTTTTTTCTTCCAAACGAATCGGGTTATGTTATTGTTTAATTTGAATAGTATAATATTTGATTCAGCAAGACTGAAATGACTATTTTAAATTCGTCCAAAACCTAATTCAATTAATATTTATTTTATTTATTTTTATTATTATATGGACGAATTATTATAAAAATTAGGCACGACAAACAAACTCGGATCTGCCTGGATCCGTCTCGATAATTAACGGAGAAAATCCAATTTAATTGGGTGCGAGTGCGGAAAAAACTCAGTTCTTAACTAAGGATGTGAGAACTGAAACGAAAAGACACTAAGACCCACTCGTATCCGCTCTCAAATATTACAATTTACTTTAATTTTCTTATTTTACTTATTTTAATATTCATTTATTCATTATATTTTTAGTTAAATTATTAATATCCTTATTACAATTAAAATAATCAAATTAATTAAGTTAATATTTATTTATTAAATAAGTTTTTAATTAAATTATTAATTAAGTTATTAAAATAATCAATTTTTTAATTAAATTATTAATTTTTATTGCAATTAAAAAGAAATAATATTTTTGCGGGTGGAGCGGAGCAGATGCGGAAAAACCCGTTTTCGATTAGGGACGAATTTGTGTAATAAATTTTTATCTCTAGTTGAGTTTGAGGGCGGATCTGCTACATGAATACAAGTGCATGTATAGTTAAATCCGTCTCCACCTCGCGCCGTTACTATGCCTAATAAAAATAATATTCATAATGTTATAAATTGTTATCATTTTTATAATCTAATAGTGACGTTATGTATTCACAAAAATACAAGACGTAATATAAAATTTTGAGTACTATTTAATTTGTGATTTAAACTATATAACAAAAAATAACATCAAGCAATAACATTTTTTTAATAATAAAAATAGTTTTTATTTGGGATATTTTAAAATTTTGATAATTTGTTTTCTAAAAATAAATAAAAAAAAATAAATGTGTGAAATTTATAAAAAAAATACTCATTTTTTTATAGATTTAGTCGAATAAATATTAAATCAACAAAATTCATCCGATTTACCCGTCAAAACGATTTAATCGAATCCGTCAAAAACTAAAATTTTATCGATCAAAATTAAACCTTATTCACATTAAATTATAAACCCGATATATTAATATATTCAAGAGTATTATTTCCATGACACCATCACATCAAGAGTATTATTTCCATAGACTAACCTTAAGGTTGATAGATTAATATATTCAGTGCTGTCATCCAAGGCTTCAATTAAGAATTTGTTCTGAATTTTCCTCTATAGTTGAAGTTAACAAGGAAGATTATTTGAATATGCAATGGTCACATAATAAGATGTATATGCCAAAAGTCAAATGTAATTTCTAGATAAGTTTGCCATGCAATGGAATATATACATTATCTATAACTTATGCTTAAAATAAAATGAATATCAATGCCCTTAGTTTTGCGCCAACGTCACTTTCCAATATAATTTTCAGTATTACTTGTACAATTTTTAGTTGTAAACCCTCTCTCAACTATAAATTTTTATTTAAAAAAATTACAAACTCTCTCAACAAACTATTTTTGAAAGGAAAAATAGAAAATCTTATAAACAAACTATTTTTGAACCGAAAAATAGAAAACTTTTTCTAGATACGCAACTACCAAATTCTCAACAAACTAATTTTTTATTAGAAAAATTACAAACTCTCTCAACAAACTATTTTTGAAAGGAAAAATAGAAAATCTTCTCAATAAATTATTTTTGAACGGAAAAATAGAAAACCTTCTCTAGACACACAACTATCCAAATTCTCAATGCACCCAAAATATTACATTTTGTTGTTGTATAGAAAACTAAAACTAACTATCTTTATTTATATTAATACTCAAACCAAACGAAATTCAACATATAAGAACTCAGATAAAAAAGATACAAATATCAAATTCAAAAACTCGTTAACTTACATAGACCAATAGATTATTTAAACTTTTCATTTGTATTAATTTGATATATTTTTATTGATTGTTCATAAATTTTATTAATTTATTAATCATGTGACATACACATTGGTTTCCTCCATTTGACAAAATAAAATTGCGCATAGTAATTTTATATTTCATATTCTCGTCGCCTAAATTTATTCATTAGCTTTGACTAAAATGAACATTGAGTAAATACAAAACAAATATATTATTTAATCTAAATTATATGATTATAATACAATGTCGTAATTGTTAGAAGTTGTAATTTGATGTTCTGATTGAAAGCTATCATTTGGTTGTGTCGAAGTAGGTAGTCGAAGTTCAGGAGCCAGCTGTATTTGACATAGTCAATATAACATATAATAATGTTGAAATGTAACTTGTAATTTTGTACTTTACATTTTTTACGTGTCGGGCTTGAGTTAGTTTGTTTAGTTTGGGTCTGGACTTGAGTCGCCTATAGAAAGGATTTTGTATGATGTAATCATAGACTTCACTACATCCTAATTTTCATAATTCAGTTTACAGTTTTCTCTCTTTTCTCTCTTCTTCTCTGTCTTTCATCTTTCTTGAAAATATTTGTTCTAACAAATTGGTATCAAGGAGCTTGATTGCGTTTCAAAGAAAATATGTATGACAAACAGAACAACAACAACATTAACGCAATTTCTAGCGAAGCTATCGGTTTTCAAAGGGGATAACTATGAACGGTGGGTTATGTAGATGAAGGTCAACTTCAGATTTCAAGATGTGTCTAAAATTGTGAACGGTGGAGTACCGACATTGGAAGCGGATGCAGATGATGTTCAGCAAGCTGCGTACATGGAGCAAAGAAAGAAATATGGAAAAGATTTATTCTTGATTCATTAGTGTGTGAAATCTAATGTGTTTGAAAAGATTATTAAAGAAGAAACGACGCAAGAAGCGTGAGACTAGTTGAAGTTGCATACGTTAAAATAACAATTTGAGATGACTCAAATGAAGGAAGATGAATCAGTCATGGAATATCTTTCATGTGTGGTGTTGCTAACGAACCAGATGAAGTCGTGTGGTCAATCAATCAACGATTTGCAGAAGATTAAAAAAGTGTTGAGATCTCTAACTGTAAAGTTTAATTACATTGTAAGTCAACAAAGGAAAGCTTGAACTTGAGCATTGCAAGTCAGAAGTGCAACTAGCTGACATACTCATTAAACCCCGTAAGAAAGTCAGGTTCGACGAGTTGAAGAGAAACATTGGGATGAGAAGTCTCGAGAACATGAATTAGAGAGTATGTTAGAAGTTGTAATTCAATAATCTGATTGAAAGCTAGCATTCGAGTATGTCGAAGTAGCTAGTCAAAATTCAGGAGTCAGCTGTATTTGAAAGAGTCGAATACAACATATAGTAGTGTTGAAATATAACTTGTAATTTTGTACTTTATATTTTGTATGTGTTGGGCTTAGGTTAGTTTGTATAGTTTGGGCATGAAGTTATGTCGCCTATATAAAGGGCTTTGTATGATGTAAATATAGACTTCACTCAATCTTAATTTTCATAATTTAATTTATTGTTTTCTCTCTTTTCTCTCTTATTCTTCTCCCTCTTTCATTTTTCTTAAAAATATTTGTTCCAATAGTAATCATTGTTGAAATTCAACCACAACCTATGGAGAATTACGCTCAATATTGATTTCAAGATTGTTATCAATCATGCAATAACAATGAAAAGATTGACAAAGAAAGAAAGAAAGAAACGTTGGAGAAGAAAATGAAAATTCTGCAGAGTTTTCTCTATCCACAAACTGTGAAAAATCTTTCTTATTCACTTGCAACTGCATGCAAGCTGTGAATAAAAAATATGAATTGTTGTTTTCAAAATAAGGGTTTCTCCCTCTTTATAGATTTAGGTTAGCTTCCACCCCAAAGCAAAATCCAAAACTATAAAAGTCCAAAATAGTTAACATTACTAAAATAGGTCTAAGTCGAAATTTTATGTGAAGCAAACTGATTCGACATATTAATATAACTCGACACACGTTAAACTATTCAACTAAACCTTGTTTCTGTCGACTTACACTACTTACCATAAAAAATTACAAACTCAAACAATCATAAACTTATATTAAGGTATATAAACTATTTCAACCATTTATAAAAAATATAAAATTTTAAAACTGTTAAAAACTAAAATTGAAAAAAAAAATCTAAATAAATAAAATTTCAATAAACAATAACCTCATATTGAGGATAATAGTTGTCCTTAATAACATCAGTAAACAAACGGATTTATATTTTAAAAGTAATGTACATTAAAACACATAAATAAATTAACCAAACATTTTAAAATATTGACCAAAATATTATTGTCTCCCTGTTTATTATAAAATATTAAAAAATATAATTATTATTATTATATGAAAAAAAATAAAAAGAAGATATATATATATATATATATATATATATATATATATATATATATATATATATATATATATATATATATATATATATATATATATATATATATATATATATATATATATATATATATATATATATATATATATATATATATATATATATATATATATATATATATATATATATATATATATATATATATATATATATATATATATATATATATACACAAGTGGTATGTGCATCAAACTGAATCATTCCAAAATGATGAATATACTTTCTATCATAATATTCTTCTTGTTCTCTCAATTATCAACCGCAATTGATAGTATCAGCCAATTTCAATCTCTTGATGATGGCAAGACCTTAGTTTCTAATGATGGAACTTTTGAGTTAGGATTTTTCAGAGCAGGTAATTCCACAAACCGCTATGTGGGAATATGGTACAAAAACATTCCATCTAGAAGAATAGTATGGGTTGCAAACCGTGATAATCCAATCAAAGACAACAATTCCAACTCAACCATGTTGATCATAAACAAAGAAGGAAACCTCGTACTTCTTACCAACAACAATCAAACTCTTGTTTGGTCAACAAACATCACAACACAATCTTTGTCTTCTACAAGTTCTCATGTGGCTCAACTATTAGATAATGGAAACTTTGTAATCAAAGACAAAGATAGGTTTCTATGGCAAGGTTTTGATTTTCCTTGTGATACTTTGTTGCCGGATATGAAGCTTGGTTGGAACCTAAAAACCGGTCTCAATCGTCGATTAACTTCGTGGAAAAATTGGGATGATCCGTCTTCTGGTGACTTAACTTGGGGTATTGTCCTTAGTAGTAATCCGGAAATCTTATTGAAAAAAGATACAACTGAGTTTCATCGGAGCGGTCCTTGGAATGGAGTTGGATTTAGTGGAGCGCCTGCGGTGAGTGTTACTCGAATTGTTGATACAAAATTTGTGAACAATTCAAATGAAGTTTATTATACATACACTCTTGTGAACAAGAGTGAGGTTTCGATAACTTATTTGAATCAAACACTTAACGTTCGCCAACGCGTTACATGGCTTCCAAAAGATAATATCTGGAGGGTTTACGAGTCTGTGCCAAGAGATGATTGTGATGCCGATAATCCTTGTGGTTCTTATGGAAAATGTAGTCCTAACGATACACCTATTTGTCAGTGTTTAGACGGATTTGAACCTAAATCACTGCAAAATTGGAACACGTTTAATTGGACACAAGGATGTGTACGTAAAATTCACCCTGCATTTGAATGCAGGGTGGATGATGGTTTTGGAAGATTTTCGGGATTGAAATTGCCGAAAACAACACATACTTGGGTTGATGGTAACATGACAATTGAGAATTGTAAGAAAAAATGTTTGGAAGATTGTTCTTGTATGGGTTATTCAAAGTTGGATGTTAGAGGAGATGGTAGTGGTTGTTGTATATGGTTTGGTGATCTTATTGGTTTGAAACAAGTTTCATCACTTCAACAAGATCTATATGTTCGAATGGATGCTTCCATTGTAGGTAAATTAAATCTTCTTCTTAAACATTTATTTATGTTTTTAATATATATATATATATATATATATATATATATATATATATATATATATATATATATATATATATATATATATATATATATATATATATATATATATATATATATATATATATATATATATATATATATATATATATATATATATATATATATATATATATATATATATATATATATATATATAAATGCTATTTTTTATATGTGAACATGAAAATGATTCTGAACGATTAAATTTTAAAATATATGATAGAAATTATCTGTTTTTTTATTATTTATTTTAATAATGAGTAGGAGAAAATAAAAAATAATACATAACCTCCACAATTTATTTTAAAATTTAATAGTTCAAATTTATTCTTATATGATATGGCTTATATATATATATATATATATATATATATATATATATATATATATATATATATATATATATATATATATATATATATATATATATATATATATATATATATATATATATATATATATATATATATTTTTTTTTTTTAAATCATCAGAAAAAATTAATAGAATAAAATAAATTATTTATTTATTTATTTATTTATTGAGGAATAATGGGTCACTATTTTATCTAAGATTTGACCAGTTGTATTTATTTTTAGATTCAAATGGAGAAGTTTCTGGTGGGAATAAGAAAAGTCATACTTTGACAATTGCAATCACTATTCCATTGGTCATTGTTTTCCTACTTGTGATCATAATCTTCTACCTTTACAAGAGAAAAAGAAAGCAGAGAGGTAAATTTCTTGACAAGAAACTTTTTATTTCAATTTAATTATTTAAATAAATTATTAACAAAACTAATACTACCATAAAAGATAACCTCTTTTTATAAATAACTCACTGACTCAGCAACTTATTATATAGTTTTTTTTTAATAATAAAACCCTATTTGTTTGCAAAATATATTTCATGTATAATTCATTTGCAATAATTATGACACTGAAATTTTTGGTTTATTTTTCAATTGAACTATTATAATATTAGGTTTTATTTTAATAATTACTACTCTACTAAATTATAAGCACCTTTTAGAAAAAGTATTAAATATAAATGCTATTTTAAATTATTAAATATATTTATTAATTATTTTTAGTGTACTCTTATTAATATTATTAAAAGAATTTATAATAATAACTTTTTGAGTATTTATGTAAATTCCATGTGTATGCATTATTCATTATTTTTTAAAAATAGTATTTAATAAATATTTTAACTTTTTTGCTAAATGAACTCGTTAATAACTAATATCATATTACCAAAAACTTAATTGTAATCAAAGCTTTTTATTTTTATTTTTATTTTTTCATCTCTAACATAATTTTAAAAATTTAGATATTAAAATGATTTTTATAACCTCTTCTCAAAAAATAAAAACTTATTAAAAAATAAACATTAAAGTTTTTATTCATATTTGTCTATTTATATATCTATCACAATATAAATTGACATTATTTAAAATGAATTAGAAAACATCATTTTAACAAAAAAGAAAGAGGAAGAAGAACAAGATTTTGAGCTTCCTTTCTTCAATCTTTCTACAATGATTGATGCCACCAATGACTTCTCAAATGATAACAAACTTGGAGAAGGTGGTTTTGGACCAGTATATAAGGTAAATAATACATTACAAAATGCTTGAATTTCATTTTCCAACATTTTTTAACCATAAAATTTAGGGTTTACTTGCCCTAGAAAGACAAGAGATTGCTGTCAAAAGGCTTTCGGGAAGCTCTATACAAGGAACAAAAGAATTTAAAAATGAAGTTATATTATGTTCGAAACTTCAACATCGAAATCTTGTAAAAGTTCTTGGTTGTTGTATTCAAGAAGAAGAGAGGATGCTTATTTATGAATATATGGCCAATAGAAGTTTAGATTTATTTATTTTTGGTTAGTATCTCTATCATTATTATACAATTGAGATTAATTTTAATCTACTTTTTCATTTTGGATTATCAATAAATTGAACATTATTCTTGACAGATCCAACTCAAAAGAAACTTTTAGACTGGCCAAAGCGCTTTAACATCATATGTGGAATCGCTCGTGGACTTCTTTATCTTCATCAAGATTCTAGATTGAGAATCATACATCGAGACCTAAAACCGAGTAATATTTTGTTGGACAGTGATATGAACCCGAAAATTTCAGATTTTGGTTTGGCAAAAATTTGTGGGGATGATCAAGTTGGAGGGAATACAAATAGAGTAGTTGGAACACAGTAAGTATTTTCATTAATATTAGCTATATTTTAATTCAATTTAACATATTTTATTATTATTTTCAGCGGTTACATGGCTCCTGAATATGCTATCGATGGATTATTCTCCATAAAATCAGATGTATTTAGCTTTGGAATACTACTGCTAGAGATTGTAAGCGGAAAGAAAAATAAAGGACTTACGTATCCGAACAACAATCACAATCTTGTCGGACATGTGAGTAACACAAACAAATTTTATTTTCGCTTAGCGAACTTGAAGATAAATATTTTTCTATAACTTTTGCAGGCTTGGAGGCTGTGGAATGAGGGGATCTCAAAAGAATTGATTGATGATTGTTTTGGAGAGTCTTTTATTCTATCTGAAGCTTTACGTTGCATACAAGTTGGTCTTTTATGTCTGCAACGTCATCCACATAATAGACCTAATATGGCATCAGTGCATGCAATGTTGAGAAATGAAACTGTTTTAGCTCAACCAATGGAACCTGGCTTCATAATAGAAAGGGTCTCTACTGAGGAGAATTCTACAACTGAAAATTTAATTTCTTCCTCAGTCAATGAAGTCACCATTTCCTTATTGGATGTTAGATGAAAATTTTATGTGGATATTTTATGTTAGTGTGTGATTTACACTTACACATGCCATTTTGATAGGTTTATGGAGGTTGAAAGAATAATGACTCATGTAGTTTATTTTAGCAGAAAATCTTTATTAGTTTGTTTGATAGAATTGTTATTGTGTGGTTGATGTGGTTATTTTACTATGAGTGTATATTAACTTATATAAGCATTGTATAGTCTCATGATTAAAAGATATGAATAAATAAGGGTGTTTTTAATTTCTCACTACTACAAATGATAATTTTTATGATAAAGTTTTTAGTTTAAAATACTAAAAATCGAGAGTATAGTTCATGGTATTATCATGTTGATAATCTGTTATCTTGGATATCTATAAAATTCAGGAAATATATCTATAAGAAAGTGGTATTTTATTTTTAATATAATCTATTACTTCGGTAGAAAAAATCGAGGGAATATAAATATCAGGGATGCTTTGAATTCCGATTATTTTATTTTATATTTTTTTAAAGGTTTAATTAGTATTTTTCACTTGGTGCCTTTCCAAAAAAATAAATTTCTTTGTTACATTTTTTTTTTCATTTTTTTTAAAAGTTAATTAGTAAAACTCAAAATCTTTGTTTACAATAAAAAAGATTAGGCAATAATACGATTGAAAAGAAAAAGAAAATTTTCATTGATAATCAATTACAAACTACAAAAAAGAAAAAAACAAGACAACAGATAACTATTTCACATATTCAAACTTCTGACTACACTTAACTTTAATACTTAATCATGTTCTTTTTATCTTTTTAACTATTCCTAACTAAGAGAAAAGTTTAGAAAAAACTCTTTCATATGGTATGAGGAAAGTCATTTCCTCGTGAGAGGTCACAACGATTTACATTTAAGAAGTTAAAAATAGTAATAGGAAGATTATTTTTAACATTGTTGATAAGGAAAAAGATGTTTGTCATCTGAAGTAAGCATTTCTAATTATTTCTCTCTTGGACGAAGATTTGATACTAGAAGTTGATGCGAAACTTTTGCAATTGAGATGAGAGTAGCAAGATTGGTGAGCTTATTATAGTTGACATAAATTAGAATAAGGTAGTTGAGAAGATATTGTTGAATCTATAATGCTCAAAACAACTACCTTTCTCTTCACACTTTATTGTCTGACTAATAAGTGATGGAGTAATGGTGATAGGAAAGCCATATACATTGGACTGTATGGACTCAGCATCCTGACCAGATTGCCTAATGGAGACATTTAACCAGAACTCAATTATGCGACTAATATAGATGGGTCCATGAAGCATGTCAAAGTAACCTTTCAAGTTTTGTTTGGAAATAGTTTTCATTAGATCAAAATCTTTGTCTTTCAACTCATCGAAATTAACAAACTTTTCATTGATATCAAACAAAAGATTTTCATCTCAGTTGAAGGTTTTTGTAGACACTTTTGAATAAAAAGAAAATGCTCTAAAACTAAATTTAAAGACACAAAGAGATGGAAATGAAATGAGACCTAAATAGAGTATAAATAAATTGGAAAAGAGGAAGTGAAACAATCAGAGAAGCTCAAACGTCTCCTTGAAAATCCAAAAGTTACGTTACATTTTGAATAGGGATGATCATTACTATTCTAGTAATATGAAACCAAGGCGCGACGTTTTATTTTTTTTAAAAATGTAAATACCACATAATACTTCGGATTTTTCATATAATCAAGGGGAAAAACCACATATTATTAACAACCCAAGAATTTTTCTTTTTTATTATAATTTTTATATGTAAATATTCTTTATAATCAATGAAACGTAAAAAAAAAAGTTTATTTACCTTGATTTTCTATTAAAACGAGGGTTAAAGTATTTCACCTAAACATAAAAATAAATTAGTGATTTTATTGATCAAATATTTGTCATTCATTTTATGACATATCAACGCTCAAGAAACTACCATTAGTGATCCGCGTGAAACATAAAAGACTTCCATTATAAAAGTATATTTATGAATATGAAGAAGTATGTGAAGCATCATGAAGCGCTTGAAACTGTATACATCCACCTCTTTAAGGTTTGCAAGATCATTTGCCATGAAAAGATCATTAAGATGGATGCGATAGCAGAAAATCATTTAGGTTTAAGGTTTGTGTTCTTAAATATTTATTTGAGCAAAAATTATTTATTTATCTAACCTTTTTTTATCAACCTTTTTTGTTTTATATCAAAAACAAATCCATGTGAGATAAATCCATTGAGAATATAGTCACACCCAACATTTGATCTTACTCAAATATCAAGGATTCGAAGATCTAACATATGATCTTCATGGACTAATTAATTTTTATTTTAATATTGTGTATAAAAAATGTAATATTTTGGATAAACATTGTAGTTAGTAAACAAATTATTTTATTAATATTCTTTGTAAACAATGTAACGGTTTTGTGGATAAACCGAGAGGTATGAGATGCATTTTTTGTAAATAATAAAAATGCATATGTTGGGGTTTGAACCCATGATCGGATAAATTTACCCCTTTGGGTTTTCATTAATTGATGTGTTAAATGACATCTTTTTTTTTCCACCTTCGTTACATCATCTCGGTAGTCGAGGTTACATCTCTTTCGCGTGCGACGTTAAAAGTGTTATTTGTAGTAGCGTTTCTTTGAGTGTTTAATATTGTTATATTATTTTTTATAAATATTAATTTAACAATCTTAGTAGGAGAAGAGTTATCACATTGTTTCATCTAAACATTTTAGAGTTGTATATAAACTAGATTGAAATCTTTAAGCATGATTATAAGCTTGACTTTTATATGTTGTCTCAAAATAGGTGACAAAGGGAGATAATAATTTAAAAGTGAAACATTTGTATTTGCCTTCGCCCATTTATAGGAGGTAATGAACTGATTGTTGGATGAATTGAACATGGCCCTGTTTGGATTTGCAACGATGCTGTCTGAAACCACTCTTAAGTTGAGTTGATCGAATTATGTTTGCTTATATTGAGGTAGTGACTGTCTTTAAAGTAATGTGTTGAATTCCTGTTTGCATTTTGATAACAAACATGTTGCTGTTCGATGCATATTCCACTGATACACTTAATTTCCTTGCAGGCTTATTTGGGTGACCTGACGTGATCTCTGGAAGTTCGAAGGCGGCAGGATTGGACATAGGTAGAGTTGGAATGACGGCTTCTGTTGTCACCATGTTCTCCTTCTGAAGTTAAGTGGTTGTTTTCATGAGTATCATTATTTGCCTGGGGTGATGGATATGTAGAAACTGTTGTGCTAGGGAGCTGCTTCGAAAACGGAAACGAGTGTATGTCGTTGCCTTACTGTAGTACTAGTTGCTGAAATCTGAGGTGATAAGTTGGTAGTTGCTAAAGGTTCAAACAAACATTGCTATTTTTGACAGACTTAGAGTGTGTGATTGCTTATCCTATGCTCACATCAGGTAACACAAGGTCGAACCTAGAGCTCTGACATGTATGTTCCTTGGATACCCTGAAAGATTCAAAGCTTATAGGTTGTGGCACCTAGAGCCAGGTCACAAGAGGTGCATCATAAGTTGAAATGTAGTTTTCAATGAAGCAGAAATGGCGTTGAAGAAAACTGATGACATTGGTCGAAGTAGCAAGATCTCTGAAGAAGAGTTGGAACAGGAAAATATTCCTTTTGAGGTGGAGCATAGTGATGCTGAATTACATAACCCGGATGAAGTCGAAGAAGAAGCACAAATTGCTGATGAAGATGATGAGACTGATAACCACTAGCTACTGGCAAGAGATATGTTGAGAAGAGTCATCAAGAAACCTCAGATACTTATTTATGCAGATCTCATAGCTTATGCCTTAATCTCTACAAGTGAGGTTCTGGATGAAGAACCTAGAGACTATAAGGAAGTTATGAGGAGTTGAGACAAGACAGAATGGCTGAAAGCCATGGATGATAAGATGGAATCTCTTCATGATAATAACATTTGGGAGCTGATTGAGAAACATGCAGGGGTCAGGTTAGTCATTTATAAGTGGATTTTCAAGGTAATGAAAGGAATTGAAATAGTGATGTAGAAGAAAAATTTAAGGTAAGGTTGGTTGTTATGGGGTTCACTAATAAAGAGGTGTCAACTTCAATGATATGTTCTTACTTGTAGTAAAGCATAGATCCATTAGAATGTTGTTAGCCTTGGTGGTGAAGTTTGACCTAGAACTTGAACAAATGGATGTGAAGAAAACCTTCTTGTATGGTGATATAGATGAAACAATCATGATGAGGTAAACGGAAGGGTATGCATAAAAAATAAAGGAAGATTATATGTGCAAACTAAATAGGTCTTTGCATGGTCTGAAACAATCTCCTCAACAATAGAATAGGAGATTCGATAATTTCATGTCACACATAGGTTTCAATAGGAGTCAATTCGATCATTGTGTTTACTTCAAATTTTGACTGGAAATTCACTTGTTATTTTGTTGCTTTATATGGATGATATCCTCATGGAAAGCAATAATGTTGAAGATGTTATGAAGGTAAAGGCTAAACTTGATAAGGAGTTCGACAAGAAGGATTTATGAGCTGCCTTCAAAATTATTGGGATTGACATCCGGAGAGATAGAAAGCAGTCGAGATTATGCTTATCTCAAGAGACATACCTGAAGAAGATTCTCGACAAGTTTGGTATGTCGAATTCAAAGCATGTTCTAACATCAAATAATCCTCAATATAAGCTGAGTATAACTCAAAGTCCTACTACTGAACTTGAAAGAGCCTATGAGAATAGAATTCCATATGCTAGTATAATAGGTTTTTTTGATGTATGTTATGGTTGGTATGAGGTCAAACATAACATACAGACTAAGCCTTGTAAGCCGGTATATGGCCAATCCTAGGAAGGCACACTAAAAAGCATTAAAGTGGATTCTGCGATACATCAATGTGTCTCTGAGAAGAGCTCTGATTTATCGTGGAGCCTGTGGTGATGATAACAAAGTCGAAATAGAAGGATTTGTTGAC